TTTAAAAAAGAAAAATTTGTATAAATATTTTAGTACTAAATTTATTGAGACATCATGAGTTTAATACAAGTTACCTTTGGCCTCTACAATGACCAGAGGTGCTCAAAGTGGTTGCCATTAGCATCTAGAGATTTAATAGTATGGCAAACTCCTGCTTGGGTGTTCTTCGTTATTGAGATTGCTGCAAATGCATTTTCTTTTTTTCTTTTTTCTTTTTTTTATAGCAGGGATCAAACCTGGGACCTTGAGCTTGTGAGGCAGGCTGCACATGTATTTCAATTTCTTCTCTAAGAGCTGGCAGTGGTAGTGTGTTTTCTGTGATATATGACATCCTCTAGGGTCCCCCATATGAGTGTAACACCGTCTGTTGAAAACAATATACTATTTTTCTTTTCCTGAAGTGTGTATATACATTTTTTTTTAGTGGACTCCATACTTCATGTTACGAGCCTTACTCCTTTTGAATCCTGACTGACCCTGTTTACTCCATACCTTAGCACATTTGCCAGTAACTTCTCTAATGTGCAATTTGTTTTCGGTTTTAGTTCCTCAAGTAAAACTCTGGTTCCTGTTCTAGGACAAACAGAGCATCTGTGCCTGAGACGCATCCTCTGATTCTCCTCTCGCTGGCCAGCCGCTCCCTCCGCAGACCGGGACCTTGGGGACATTCCTCCGTAAGTGGATCACTGCTCTTCCACACCTCCACTTAAGGCCTCCTTGGCTCCTGCTTTTCTTTCTCTCTCAGGAGGCAGCCCGGCAGGGAGGAAGGAGGGTTACGGTTAGTCAAAGAACATCTGATCTGAAAAGGGCCTCCGAAGTCATCTTTTCTCCCTAGAAATGGCCTCAAGACCAGCAAAACTGGCCTCCAAAATTAGTTACCTCGGTACAACACTGATAGCAGGAGTGCTGCGAGCCTGTGCTTATTTATCTCTGGGGAGGCCTCAGCTTTCTGGGTATTCATCCACCAAAGTGAAATGAATATCCTATTTTTTTTTAATGTATAACTTTATTATCATTCACTAAACACACACATATATACAAAAATTAAAATTATTCAAAGAAAAGCAATAGAAGGGGAAAAAACTATAATAATATTCAAATATAATAGAACTCAACCAAAGTAAAACTGAAAAGTACTTAAACATTTTTCCATATAATTTTAAAAAAAATCTCAAGCATTAACAAGTCATCAAAGGATGTGATTTGTTTTAGAAAGATTTTCAAAACTAATATTGAACAAATAGTGGTCTGGAAAAAAATTCTAATTAGCTAGTAGACTCCACATAGGCCAAATTTTTAAAATTTAAATTTCAATAGTCATGTGACATGTGATGAAAATATAATCTGACGAATATGTTACTAGGCAATTTCATCCATGTGTATCGCAAAATACCACACAGAGTGCCAACTTCTAAGTAGAAATGAAAAGGTATACGTCTGTCATCTATGATGGCCCCTTGATATTATCCAAGTACGCAGTTAATCACGAGATACATGAGGCTACCACTGGCACAGCAGCACACTGTTTTACAGTAAACTCTTTTATATCAGTAGGATTATGCTCTAAAGGACGAAAAGCACAGCATGTTACGATATGTACCTAAAACAGTAACAGTCATTTATCACACTATCGAGTACTGTGTACTGTTCATAGTTGTATGTGCTTCTTCTGGAAACACACCCTTCTCTCCTTTGATCTCAGTGACTCTTCCTTCCCAACCCACTGATGAGCTCCAGCCTAGTCTCTATCTACATCTCTTGCTGTAATTTTAAACACAATCTATATATGGATTCTTTCCAAATTCCAGCCTGTAATTCTGATCTCTCCCCTTCCCCTCCTGCCACCCTTACCCCTTTAAACCTTTTCTTCCTATTTCAAATTATCAATTATTCATTTTAATCCTTAATTACACTTTCAGTTTCTCACACTAGAGAAACTATTTGGTATTTACACGTGTGTCCTATTAATTTCACTTAAGAGGATGGCCTCAATATGCATCCATTTAGCTATAAATGTCTCTAGTTTCT